ATTATAGGTCATTTACTCAACACTATTTTAGTATTGAGTGTCTTACATTTGGATATACATTTACTTTTAGAATGAGTTTTATCCTTTCCAGTTGTATTGTGAATAAATTACTGGAGTCAACTAAACTCGAACTCTGAACCTCTACAACTACCAGCTAAACAAATTTCTTTAATACAATGAGCCTGTCTCAAGTGTTTTATGTATACTAACAAAAAATGGACTAATATGCAATCATTAATATTTACTATGAGAATTATTGAGAGAATGGCACATCCTAAATGCTAAAAAAAAATGGTAACTAATACAACTGCGACTATTACCACTATTGTTTGTATTCTACTAGACTATGAAGTCTCTGGGGACCATTTCAGCATGGAGGATCAGAGACCACTGGGGGCGGCAGGGGATGAGGACACTGGTACCTGGGGAGGTTAACTCTATTTGACCTTGCAAGTCAACCTGCAGAGGCGGGCCCCAATGTCCAGACTCCATGGAATGTCCCTACTCTGAGTAGAATGAACCATCTCTAGCTTGACTGACTTCTGAAACTCTTTGCATCAGTTTTTGTGCTGTGAGCCATGGATAATTTCAGGCAAATTCAAAGATGAATTTCAAAAAGAAGCAAGGAATTACTTAATCACTGACACAGATACAAATAGAACAGCTGAAAGATGTTTTGCTTTTTATAATCACTATTTTAGGAACTCATTTTTTCTAAAACCCATGAAAAAGCTGAAAGCCAGGCATGGTGGCACACATGTATAATCCCAGCACTCAGGAGGCTGAGGCAGGAGGATTGCTGTGATTTTGAGGCCAGCCTGGGTTACATAGTGAGTTCAAGGCCAGCATGGACTATGGAGAGAGAGACCCATCTCAAAAACCAAATGGAAAGAAAAGAGAAGAGGAAAGCAGAAGAGAGGAGAGAAGAGGAGAGGAGATTAGAAAGGAAAAGAAAAAGCTGAAGTTCTGCTAAAAGCTGGTATGCAAGGGCCAAAAGGCTGAGGAGAATAAAACCCATAAAAAAGGCAGAGAATAATCTCTAAAGCTGAGGATAGTTTGTTCCTTTTTTGTGTAAATTAATCTATTTCAAAAGAATGCTTGTTCAGCAGTGGAACACTGAAAACCACATAAGGAGAAAAGAGTGAAATTACCTCTCATTTCCACTTTTCTGTTTCATGTTTTGCAGTGCTGAGCAGAGAACCTATGGCTTGTCCACACTGGTCAAGCAGTCCACCACTGCGTGACATCCCTGGTCCTCACCCTTCAGCCTCACAAGTAAAGTCACTGTGACAGTGTTGGTAACCCTACTGGGCTATTGGATGAAATCTTCCATTTCCCTTATGTAGCTATATTTTCTAATGATACAAATAGCAGGCATTCATTGTGGAAAAATGTAAATAAAGCAAAGATTAACATTTAGTAACATTAAATTCTGTACACATTTCTCTACACATTTTTACATAGCTTGTTATATGTACCATTTTATATCCTGCTTTTCAATATAACATTAATTTTGGTTTTTCATTAACATATAGTTATTGTACATATTCATGTGGTAGAGTCAGAATCATTACACAGGTATACAAAGCAGGGCACTTAGCATTTCTACCTGTGTTAGTCAGCTTTCTGTTACTGTTTATGATTAACTTGTTAAGAGAACAGATTTATTTTGACTCACAGGTTTGGTGGGTTCAGTCCATGACTGATGGTCACCACTGCTTTTGTGCCTGCGGTAAGACAGCATATTATGGTAGAAGAGAGCGGTGGAATAACACTGCTCACCTGAGGGTCAGGGAGCAAAAGAGTGAGGAGGGGCCAGGGTGTTAATGTCCAGTTAAAGGCCACAAAAACCAAGGCCTAAAGCGCCCCCCTACTAGACCACAGCTCGTAGAGGCTCTGCCCTCTGCCAGCAGGTCTCTGCTGAGAATGCAGCCTTTGGGAGGCATGTACTGTAACATCCAAAGTATATGACCATCTTCTTCAATATGTATCCTTTCTTTGAGTTGAGAACCTTCACACTCCTGTCTACAGTTCTTTATAAAATATATACTAAGGTTGGTGAACCATAGTCATCCTACTGGGGTATTGGATGAAATCTTCCATTTCCCTTATGTAGCTATATTTTCTAATGATACAAATAGCAGGCATTCATTGTGGAAAAATGTAAATAAAGCAAAGATTAAAATTTAGTAACATTAAATTCTGTTAAAGTATACAAAAATATGAGGAAACCTAATGCTGCTATCTCCCAGATATATTCTTATTCATTGGGAAAACCCCACTGATAAACAGTTCTATAGGTAGAAAGTGAAAAGGAAATGATCTTTTCTTTCACAGTACATCCTTACTGTCAGAATTTTCTTTCCAAGTAATTGCAGTTATATTTGAATAAATGTGCTTAGAGGAAAAGATCATATGCATGTATCAGCATACATATGCATATTTTTAATTAATTTAGAAAACAAGTATAATACTTTATCCATTATATGTGTGGCTCTTTTCATTATCTGATATGGACCTATTCATGAAACAAGTCCATATCAGATAATCTTTCTTTTTAGTGGCTCAATTATATTCCATTTTGTCCATATCACATTACTATTTAACCAGTTATCTATCAATGGATATTTCTCTTTTTTACTATGACAGCACCACAGGGAACATTTATAGGTGTTTTGTATGTGCTTAACATACACCCATGCCACACACAAACACAGAAACACACTTCTGTAGGGAAAACTCTAACTAAATTACTAGTCATAGTATTATAAATTAAAGGGGTAATTCCATTGCTTGAAATACTAAGGTTTCAAATACATTGCCCATTTCCACAGTCCCTCCTTGTCCCTCCTAGCTTGAGCTTTCCGCAGGAAGGAGAGTAGGCCCAGGTCAGTCAGGCCACTAACATGGTGGCTGAATAAGAATAATGATTCTAGCAAACAAAGTAAAAGTTACAACATCGCTGCTGACACAGCCTCAAAAACTGTGCAGCACTGCTTCTTCCACAGAAATCTGCTCAGATACAAGAAGAGGCACAGACCCCACCTCATCATGTGCAGTCAGTCACACTCAGATCGTCATGCAGAATGGGAGACATCGTTTCAGATATTTAAAAAATTAACCATCCCCACTCTCCAGTAGGTTTGAACAAATTTACACTTTTGTGGAGTATATTACAATACCTGCGCCAGGGATGTAGCTCAGCGGCATGAGTTCCTCCTACTTGGCAAGTGCAAGGTCCTGAGTTCGATTCCTGGGACCAGAAAAAAAAATACTTATTTCCTAAGCCCTTTGAAAATCTGATTAATTAAAAATGATTACTCCGACACTAATTTGCTTCACATCTGTATATCAGTAACACTGAGGGAACGTCTGTATCTTTAGTGGCCCCTTAGATTTCTATTCCTGATATCTGGCCATTTATAAACTTTTGTTTTGGATGTTTATTAATTTTAAGAGTAATTTGGAAATGAAAAAATTGTTCCTTTCATTATAATTATAAATGTGTTTTGGATGTTGTGCTTCCTCTTCATCTTCATAGTTTTAAAATTTTTTGTCATACTGAAATTTATAATTTGTCCATAGTTACATGTTGTCAGTATTTTTTATTTACCGAGTTTAGATCTTGACAAAAAAGTCAGCTTTGTTCCACCATTATTTGTTAATATTCTGAAATTTTTTATAGGATTTGATCATTTACCTTGCAATCTGCTTCATATAATGTTACCAGACTGAACACCTTGGCAATATCCCCTTAGTCAGTACATCACAATTTTTATGTACTGTTGGGTTCTAGTTGTTAATGTCTTTCCCCAAATTGAAACTTTTCTTCAATGCCAGATATCCCCCAAAATTCTCATTTCTTATGACTGTATCTATTTTACCAAAATTTGTTTTTATTTTATTTCTGATTATTTCCTACATACATGACTCCATTTTTGTTGTTTTCTAATTCTGATTTATATTGTTCTACATTATTTCTTAATATGCTGCAGTTGTGGTCTATGCATGTATTCCTGTGATATTTTCATTATTTGTAGATAAATTACTCTAATTCTCCTCTTTCCTAATAATAAATTTGTATTACATTCCTCTTCTCAGTTTTCTGTTACCATTTCTATAGAATGTTAAGTGGTAAGGTGGTTTTTATAAGAGCTCCCTCTTCTGCTACCTTTGTGAAATGTTTAAAAATTTAGCGCCTTCTTTTCTGAAATGGTCACCCGCTAAAGCGGGTAATGACCCTAGGTACATGTGCCACGGTGGGCACAGAGCCCTCTGTGTTGGCGCGCAGTACAAGTTCCCAGCATCGCCCCGGAGGCTGAGCATTCAGGTTTAATTTCAGAGTTGGCACTTTGCAATAAATAAGTGGGTTTGGGGTTGCAGTTTGGGCACTTGGTCTCTAACAGTTTTGCCATCACTGCCCTGGAGTAATCTGTCCTGTTCCCTGGTCCATGTTATTTCTGTTCTGCTCAAATTTGATTCCATCTGCAACAGTTTTGCTCTGTAATAACCTATCTCCAGAGAAAGCCCTGGCTGATTCGTTTCAAAATTTCTTATGCCCTACGGCATTCCGAGTACTTTCCAAATTTACAAAGAACTTCACATTATCTATTATTACAATGGGCAAAATCCTACCTGGGGTTATCTTCTGTTCTGTGATTGGCTTCTCAATGAAGATCTCTTGGGTATTTGGGAGCTCTTTGGTTCTCAAGTTCTTTGCTTTCCTTTGCTTTCTTCTAGGTCCTTTTCTCCCTCTTTTGCTTTAGCAATTACTGAAACTTTACAAAACGGTAGAAATTTTCACTGTTTATGTACTTTTTCCCTCATATATCCTTTATAAAATTGGAGTTTTTAAAATGTTACATGTTTAAATGGTAAATGTAGTTAAGTGACATAGGAAAAGTGAAAGGGAGAACAGAAAGTGGGAAATTCCTGTGAAACAGAGACAAACGTCCCGTATATATAGCCCATACCCATGCAGGAAGGACACTCACACTGCAGACTTTTGGAGACTTTGCTCCATCATCCACGTAACAGACAACGCCGTTCCGGTTTTCATCATGGCCAACAGGTGTATCCTCCAAATCGCTCTCCTGTTGTCCTTCACATCTCTCTCTTTAAGCTACAACTTGCTTCAGCTCCAACAGCAGCAACGCAGGAGCACTTTGGCCTGTCTGGAGCTTCTGAAACAGCTGAAAGAAAAGCCTGAATACTGCCTGAAGGACAGGATGGACTTCAAATTCCCCGAGGAGATCAGGCAACCACAGCAGTTCCAGAAGGAGAAGGCTGCTCTTGTCATTCAAGAGATGCTTCAGAACATCTTTGCTATTTTCAGAAAAAATGTCTCACACACTGTGTGGAATAAGACCACTGTGGAGAACCTGCTTGTTGAACTCCATCAGCAGATGGATCATCTGAAGTCAACAATCCTGCAGGAAAAACTGGAGGAGGAAAACTTTACCAAGGAGGACACCACGACCATTCTGCGCCTGAAGAGCTATTATTGGAGGATCAGGAGGTACCTGAACGCCAAGAAGAACAGCGTTTGTGCCTGGACAATAGTCCAGGTGGAACTCTTGAGGAACTTTTCCTTCATTGACAGACTCACAGATTGCTTCCAAGACTGAAGATCTGCTAGCTTGTTCCACTGGGACAGGAAATGCCTTCAGGAATGCTTCATTGACTGCCAACACATGCACTGCATGTGAAGGGACAGTAGAAGAGTTGAAGATCATTCATTAATTTATGAATTAAGTTATTTGTATTCTTTATTTAAATTTTTATCTTGGAAAATAAATTATTTATGACACAAGATCAAATGGGAGTTTTACATTCAACTTGATTTATGTAGTCACTAATGTCAACATTTGCTGAGCAGCTATGAGATGTTCTTTATGAAATATGGCCGCAGAGTAGTACTGTTTCTGGCCCCTGCCTTTGAGGAATTTAAAATCCAAGGAAGCCACACATAATACAGAAGGTAAGAGATAACCAGGGAACTTAAGCTTCTAGAGAAGTCAGAGTGACATGCACTGTTACGGGATTGGAAGGGCAAACAGGATGGGGCTAGAACCTGGGGTGCCACTATGACTGCTCTGTGCTCCAGGCTCTCTAGTAATAGAATTTGGCTCTAGAATTTGGCTGGCTCTCTGGGTAGTCTAAGGAGTACGTCAACTCTTACGTTCACGCTAAGCCCATTTTTTATTATTTGAGGAGCGCTCCCTTTTCAGAATATTTAAATATTCTGAAATTCTCACCTAAGGGTGAGAAGTCCTAGGCTCTCCTCTGCAACTTAATAAGTGGCTTTATTTTGCTGTGCATGGCATAGCCAAGATATGTGGGTTTCATAGAGCTGAGTGTATCTGCATCCTGGGAAAGGCACCAGTAGGAGAATAACCTTCTTTATGCCCTGGCAATCTGGCTTTTTCTTTGTCCCCAGTTTTGTCAAAAACCAAGTCTGTTCCTGGCACTGTAGCTTGCTCACACAGAATTTTGGGAATATTCTCTCTGGTTTTTCTGCCTCTCTGCATCTCTGAAACCTCATACTCCTCAAAGCCAGAACGAGTGCAGCAGGTGGAGTCCAATTTCAAGCCAAATACAAAGCCCTGAGGCATGAGAGATAAAGGATTTCAGGTGGGATAAAGGAGACCAACTTTCCCTAACACTTAACTGGAAAAATCAAGTGTTCCCAAAAGCTCTTTGGATACCTGGCCAACATGTACCAGCTGACTAGGTTTTTATCTTTACTGACCCCTTGGCTCTTATTTGTCCACCTGCAGCTACCACTTAATTAAAGATTCTAATAAACAGGCACTGTGCCGAGCACTATGCCCCTACTTGGATTTCACCTTCTTCACATGCACCCTTAAGTAGGAATCATTATATATTCCATTATAGAGGACAGGAAGATCTCAAAGAGGTTTAGTAACTGCCTCAAGACCATGTAGCTACTGAGGGGAGCTTTGAAAAAAAAAAAGCACATAGGGCAGAATAATAAAAGCGTTTAGTTGTATCTAGGCATTTTCTGCAAGGGCAGTTCAGAAATCTGAATTCCTCTCAAAGAGATCAACATTGAGAAGACATCTGCCAGGTCCTATTTTGCTGACAATGAACTCAGAGCTCCCCCTTCCTGCATGAGGCAAGTAATACACCAAAAGTGCCATCCTGGTGGGCTTGCCGCCATAGATCCAAACCAGTCAAGTGCCCTGTGAAACAATCAGTACTCCTTCTGTGTTCAGGCAGTTCCTTTAGAAATGGCTTGGCAATCAAAAGTATTCCAAATTCTTCTTGCCTCAAACAAAGAATTGAATGAGACGCCAAAAACGGTGCCAAAAGTGTTTGAAAAGTGTGGGGTAAATGGGTGTGAGAGAAACCAGCTCTGCAGAGCAAGCTTGGGCAGAACAAGAGAAACAGAAGGTAAAAGCAAAAATAAAAGTACATGCTGCGTCTGAGAAATTCAGCATGGGCTACCCTGGGAATTCAGATAGTGGCTCCCGCCATCTGGTCTTCTTTCGTGCCCTCCACATCTGCCCTGCAAGCTCCTGGGTTCCACGTATGGGTCCTGAGACTTATTTGGCGCTGTCTTGGGATCTTGTAATTGACAGGTCCCTGTCATTTCCCCAGCCAGCTTTTCCAGCCTTATCGCCTGTATCACTTCCTCCTCCAACTCCCCGTTTCAGCTCCACTAGAAGCTTTTCTGCAACAGGGCTCCCTTCTGTCTGGGGGTCAAGCACAAGATGTAGAAATGTATAGCCAGTGGTGGTGAACCTATGGCATGTGTGTTATTTTTCTGTTAAGACAAAAGATGTTAATGTATGTGTTGTTTTTTTTTATAAACCTCAGTATTCAGGTTTCATTGCAGTGTTGGCACTTTGTGATAAATAAGTGAGTTTTGGGTTGCAGTTTGGGCACTCGTCTCTCAAAGGTTTGCCATCACTGGACTCCAGGCAACACCTGGAGTAGCTGAGAGGATGCTGAAGATGTATCAGAAATGGGTCTAGACTGCCCACTGACTTCCGTGGGTCATACAGCCAAACTGAACCAGAAATTGGCCAGTTTTTGGAATGGCTTGCTTTGCCTGTGTACAGGGGTCAGAAGGACAGAGGCTTCTGCAGAATTTTAAATGCTATGTCACAGCTGAGCATACACATCCCCTGTGAACTATCTATAATACAAAACGTATATCCATCAAGAGTTGAAGATAAATGACAATTAAATTAATTCCAATAAAAATAGCCTAAGGTGATATTTACATATCCTTAATAGATAATTATGTATGAGTGCTAAAGCAAAATAAAATTGTTGCTTTAGCTGGCCACTACACTATTTCACAGGGATAATACTATTTTTAAAAATATCTAAGGAAAGTTTTGCGATAGAAAATCAGATCTTAAAGTTATGAGGATGACAACACAAAAGACAATAAAACATCTAGAGCATGTGATATGATTTGAATATGTCCCAAAATTAGTGTACTGGGAACCTTAATTCCCCAATGCAGCTGTTTGGAGAGGAGGGACCAAGAAGGAGGTATATAGGACAGAGTCCCTGTGAATGAATGAATTCCTTTCTTGCAGGAATGGGTTAGCTATTGTAGAAATCCAGCCTCATTTTCTCATATGCATACTCTTTCTTCGTTTCTACGTTGCAGCATGGGTTAGAGCTCAATGAGGCCCTCACCAGAGGCTGACAAGATGCAGCTGCTCAACCTGTGACTTCCCTGACTCCAGAACTATAAGCAAAAATAACTCCATCTCAGATATTCAGTTATAGCAACAGAAAATGCTAAGACAGCATATTTTTGGTGTTTCTTTGTTCTGAGCAGGAGACCAATAGAAGCCCCCTACATAATCCAAAGCTATGATGCTCCCTGAGAATTTTTAATGGGAAGAAACACAGGACATTTCAAAGCATCTCCCATGCAACTTGAAATTGTATGCACTAAAGCGCTGAGACTCTCTACCTCACTTTGTTCCAAACTTTGGTTTGGGACAAATTTTCATCCCTATCTATATGAAGTCTTTATGGGTGTACAATTTCTGTGTATTTTCAAAAGTGTCCTGGTTTATATTGTCAAATAGCCTGGGGTGGCCAGAACTTCATGGTGACCCAAACTGGCAGGGACAGAAGGCAGACCAATAACGACAGGACCACCTTCCCCTTCCCACCTTATGCCTTAGGGTTCCAGAGAAATCACGAGAGGGCATGGCACTGCCACAGACACGGGTTAAGAGGTAGAACCTCCTTGCTTAGCTCTTGAGCAGTAAGAGGTGGCAAACCAATTATGGAAAAGTTGGCTAAACCCATGGATATGCGGCTGCAGAGCAGTATCAGGGAATAGTCTGATAGTCTTTCTTGCAATTATTGGAGCAGATATGTAGGCACTTTATGTGACTTTAAACACTTTCAGGGACTTAGATTACATGTGATCAGGTATTGATTCATAAAATACTGTTTTGGTTTTCTTCTTCAGGTCTCACTATATTTTATTCAGGTCTCACAGTTCAAGCTGGGCCTGAACTCACTGTGTAGACCAGACTGGCCTCAAGCTCATGACGATCCTCCTGCCTCAACCTTCCGAGTGCTGAGATTATAGGTATGCACCACCATGTCTGGCCAATACTTTTTTTTTGAGATGGGTTCTTACTTTGTTGCTCAGATTTGCCTTGAACTCATGATCCTCCCCCTTTGGCCTCCTAAGTGGTTGTGATTTCAAGTGTTTACCATCACACAGTCTTCATAAAATATTAAGAAAATGAAAAGAGCATGCCATAGACTGTGAGAAATATTTCAAATCACACATCTGATAAAGCAGATACTCATATTCTGCTTATATTAATAATAGGCTTCAAAAGTACTCTGAAAACTTAATAACAAAAGAAACCCCACCAACTCAAACAAATGGATAATGTATTTCAATGAACACTTTACCAAAGAAAAAAACATTAAAAAAAAGAAGAAACATGAATAGCAAGTAAGGACACGGACATGGTAAAGCCATCCTTGGGGACTTTCGATAGCTTTGTCTAGATGATGAATATAAAATATACTTTGGTTACAGAGAAGCGCACTCCACTCTGAGGACCTGCTATAGCCATTGCCCTGGCTACAGAACATCCGTAAGCCATCTTGACTGAGTCTGTGTGTGACGCATAGGCGGTCTGCGCAGCAGACATGACCGGCCTGGTCAGTGTGGACCCCCTCTTGGCTACTCAGGCTGTGAGACAGACAGAGCAGGCAATTTGTAGGTCAGAGAGTGTGTGCACCCAGAACCGGACCTTGACTGTTACAGACATCTTTCTCTAAATTTTTTTGCAGCAATGCACCTTGAGCCTAAAGAATGACCTGTCTTAGGAAACCTTTTGTCCGCAACACTAATTGTTGCTTTTTAACACAAGTTCAATTGTTTCAAATCTCCTAGAATTGTTCACTTTCAACAAACTCCAATTATTGGACTAGAGTGCCAGTATAGTGCTCTCCTAATTCAGTAGGATCAAGTTAATTATTCAACTCAATTAATGTGATGGAGAGGACTCCAGAAACTTGTTCACATCAGAATTCACCAAATCAGTAAATTCCGCTTCAATTAATATTGATTGAAATTCTCATTTTTGTTTATTCCTTGCACATAGTGCTCTTCTTCTTTTTTTCATAGTGGTCTTAAAAAACCCAAAATGTATTAT